CAATTAAAACAATCCTAATTTTAACTTTAAAAGGTAATTAAAAAATAAAATCTTATCTTTTTACTTCATTTCTTCCAAAGTAGCAACTAATCTGTCATGGACTCAGAATTGCACATCTGATGTGGTAAAATCTCCTCCATCCATTTTAAAATCTTTGACATGTGGCTAATTTTAAATTTTTGCAATTCATGGTGTAAACAATTATATAACAGTATAAATTTATATATTTTGGCACATAAGTTTCAATCAAAACATATCAATAAACATTGTTTATTTTATTTGCCATTTCACAATATTTTCATTACAAATTGAATTTTTTTTTACTTATAGAATTGTTTGTTGCAAACAACATTCTCCAATTTTTTTCTTTTTTTCTTTTTTTCTCATTGAATAACAAGTTTTCTTTTTATATATTTGTGAAAAATTGTTCAATCTAAAAGCTTAAACAGTTACTCCCTCTGTTCCAATTTATTAGACGTTTTAGAGATGTGCACGAGAATTAAGAAAATTAATTAATGGTTCTTGAATATAGAGATTTTTAAGATTAAAATACCATTATACCCTTTTAAAATTAGGTAGTTAAAGAGGAATCAATAAAAAAACACCAGTGAGGGTAAATTTGGAACAAAAAAATTAATGCAATCTTGATTTGCTAAAACGTCAATTATTTAAGAACAATTTTTTCTCTCCAAAACGACTAGTATAGTGGAACAGAGGGAGTATATAATAAAAATTATACAAAACAGTAATAATTAACCAAAATTAAATAAAATCACATTAAACTCCACAACCGAATTCAATGGAAGCCTAGGAAAACTCAGCAACAATTAATACAGAGCAGAGCTCAGAGGAAGTACAAGTGCATGGGGATGAGCATGGGTAGGCATGGGTCAAGTATTTGCTTACATTTGTAATTGACTTAAATAGTGACATGTATAAGATTTAAATATTTAATATTTACTTAAGTATTACAAATTTATATTTGTTATCTAATTTGTTACATATAGGTATACTTATAGATTTATTTATATACTTATTAAATTTTATATTGAAAATATATAAATTAATATACAAATATAAATTAAAAATATAATTAAAATTAAAATTTTAA